AATGGCCCAGGTCAGCCTGTCTCATCTCTTGCCAAACTACCATCCCCCATGGGAAACCAGTGTTCAAAGCCCTGAATGCTGATCCGTGAGGGGACTCTGCTGGGAGTTCCTCTGTGTTGTGTCACCTACTGAGGGGCCTGGCCAGCCCGCATCAGCCCTGGTGCTAATCCAAGGACGGTGGTCCTCAGATCCCCGAGGCCACACCGGGCTTTTCCTAACACATGGGCAAGCTTCCTTCTACCTGAGAAAATGATACACTTCAGTTCTCGTTGTTGTGATCAAATTTATGCATGACAAGATTTGTAAGTTGGAGGGGCTGGTTGGACGGCCCCTCTTCCAAGTAATTGGATGTTGCAGCAAACATGTTTCTAGGAGTGAACACGTCAAGCTAGAGCAGAAGATGTCTGGGTGGTGGACCAGCGGAGATGGGAGAACAGTGTTTCCCTCCGGGCTGTTGTAGTTCTCACTAGGCACTGAGCTTGTGTCTCCGTGGGTGGCTCCTGGTTGTTACGTCAGGCTCCTGCCTCCCTTTGAAGAGTTGTACTAACAACTCAAGGTGTGTTCTTACAGAAGTGTAAAGATTTGTTTGCTCTGTTTGTTTTCTGACATCCCTGCCCGATGTTAATGTGAGAATATGGAGAGCAATTTCCCGAAAACTGGCTCGAAAGTATGTGGATCATGGCGGTCTCGTCTTTCTTTAGCTACTACTATTCATCTTCCGGTTTACATTTTCTGATATGATATGCAGATCCTCCACAAGCTACTTGTATTGGGAGTACAGCCCTTTGGGCCATATTATTTTGGCCACACTATTTTCTGCTCTTGAGTTTATGGCCCATATTGGGAGTGGGTAGAGGGAGGGCGGCACTAATTGACATGAGAGCATTAGCTAGGCAATCAGAAGACCTGAGTTCTGGGATCAGCTTTGCCACTTAGCTCAACTGTGTGACCCCTGACAAGTCCCATGTTATCCTTGATCCTCACTTTCTTGTCTGTATAGTGGATAGATTGGTTCTTCTTTCAGATCGTTTGTTTGTTTCACCATTGTCTCACGGGATTCTAACATGGCAGACATTCACTCAGCCTGGATGCTGGCCTTTGTTTTGAGTTTTGTAGATGTCTAGCCCTTTTTCTGAGTCGTTCTTCCCCATGCTTTATAGATTTCATCTCCTTTTTGTTTTGGAGTCGATTATCTCACCCATCTATTACTTAAATCTCAGTGGTTGTAAGTGCTGTCATTACAGCTGTCCTCCAGCCAGCACCCCCTCTGGGCCATCACCACTGCTGTCACTGCCATGTATCCATCTTATTTCATCCTCAGAAGAGCCGTTCAGCGCTGTGGATGCCACCTCCCCCGCCCCAGCCATGTAGTTTCCACAGGGAGAGGACTACATCAAGGATCAGGGGCCAGAGGAGCAGCGCACTTTACAGGACTCTTACCCCAGTCCATTCCAGCCTTCCTAGTAAGCACCTTCCTCTTTCCAGCAGTGACATTTACAACTTGGCATCTTATTTCATAATTACATAAAAGGATCGCCGTCTGGCGAGAGGCCCGCATGACATTGCAGGTTGCACCGAGGGCTGTTGGCCCCCAGAACAGAAGGGAGTGTCCTTCTGCCTCAGCCTGAAGAGTCGTCACTGGGTCAGTCCTTTAACATCAGTGTGAAGAAGTCCGTTCATGTGCACCTGCTGCCTCTTCTCTTCCTAACCGGTTAGCCTCATTTGGTGAAGTCCCTCTTGGAAGAAGTATTAGCAACTTTTAGTAAAATAAGGTACGTCATAAATGAGGAGTTCTAAGACCATAAAAACCTCTCAAATTCCTGTGTCTCAGGGCTGCACCTGGCCTTTTCCAGGTTTACTCCCAGCCGGTCCCTAGAGGGCAGGAAAAGTGCCTAGATTTATTGATGGGCTTCTTATGACAAGGCCAGGGCGCTGCCCAAATGAAAGAGCTGGATCTCTTCAGAAGACATCTGATGCCCCCGAGCACCGCTCTCCCAGCACAGTCCCACCTTCAAGGAGCACTCACTCTGGCAAAAGTGGTGAAGCAGGTACCCAGGTGGCAGCGCCCGTGACCTTGACCAGGGCCTGTCCAGGCAGGGGAGGGAAGGAGGCATTCGGGCTGCACCTTGCATGATAGGTTGGATTTAGATGACCTTGGAAGACCAAAGGGAACCCCTAGCACATGGTAGGCTCTCAAGGAAGACTGGCTGACTGAATGGCCTCTCCACCGTTGGGAGTTTCTTTAATTATAGCAAAACTCTTCGCATGCAGAGGACTTCCCTTACATTCCACATTTGGCCAGTTTGTTTCCCTGCTTCTTGTCTGTCAAGGTCTTTGGCACTTCTCTGTGCCCCTGTGTGGTGGCAGGGGGTACCAGTCTTCCCCCTGGAGCTTCACTCTGATCAGAGGGGAGTCAGGGTCAACGGGAAAGAGCATGCTGGGCTTCCCTGCACAGCTGACCAAGGGTCAGACCCCAGCTCCAGCATGTGTTTGTTGTGGGACCTCAGGCTGCTGTTTTTAACTCTCCTACGCCTGTTTCTTCATCTGAACATAGGAACAAGTCAACGTGTTGGGTGGTTATGAGGAGTAAGCTAGTGCCTGTGCAATATTGGGTACTTAAAACCACTCACAGAAAGGGTGGGTGCTTGCATGTGGCTGCCATTGGTGTCGTTGGAAGTATCCCCCGGGGACGCGAGCATGATGTTTCCCCTTCTTGCATGGCCCTGCCGATATCACAGAAGTTCCACCATATGTCCTGGAGGCCTCCCCATCTCTTGGCCACACACCTGGTTCCCCTCTACCCCCTCCCGCAGCAGAAGGTGTCATGATGTCGTTTCTCTCCTTCGGATGATGGTGCCCTCCTGCCCCTGTCTCATCAAGTGTGTGTGAGAGCCACCTGAGACCCTGGATGTAGGAGCTTGGGGCACAGGAAGTGGAAAGGAAGGGAGGGAAGAAGAAAAATGGCTGGAGGGGGTGTGTGTGCATCGCCCCCCCCTCCCCCCATGACTCCTTGATGGCTACAATTCTCACTCCTAGACATTGTCTCCTGGGACACAGTGCCCTTCCCTAAGGTTGCCGTCAATCAGGTTCTTTCTCTTTGTTCCCCAAGGCCACCTCTGAAAGCAACAGGTGCCGTGAGGTTCTGCCCCAAGGTCTGTCTGTCTTCTCCACTCCTAGTTTAGGGCAGCTTTCTGGGGGACGGCAAAGTCACCACAGGGGCCTCCCGACCCCAGACCCCCGAGTCCTCACCTTTCCTGGTTTCTCTGTTGTTGTTATCGTTTTTGTTGTTTTTAGTGCAGAGGGGAGAGCAGCAGTTTTACTCATTTGCGTGTTGGGGTGGGCAGCGTGAAGCCAGGCAGGCAGCGGTGTTCCCTAGCTGAGCAAGCCCATTTTCCTGACCCCCTTCCTGCCCACCTTCCCCCAGGGCCAGAGAGGCGTGGCTTTGGTGCCCCCTTATTTCCTCTGGCCTGGGCAGCTGGGTTCTCACCTAGTGTCACTTATTTTTTTCAGAACACTCATGTCAGACATCAAATGATGTGTTAGGGTGTTTTGTTTTGTTTTTTTTCCTGCGCCACAAAGGAAAATAGAACAAGAACAAATGAATCAGTTTTTCTGGAATCGTAAGCTGTGATTTCTTCATAAACGAACTTTGAGAATGGCTATTGAATTCCACAAACATTCCTGAGTGTTTCCTGACCACCAAGGCCCACACTCTGAAGGGGTGGAGGCCGAGATGCCAAAGATAGGATCCCTGTCTTCAGAGGGCTTCCTTGGGAAGCCGTCATGTCCTGGAGGGGGAGGGGTTCATGTTCCGGATGTGTTGGCGTGCCCATGCATGCCCATAGTTCACAGCCCAGCCCACGTCTCCCTCCTCCATGAAGCCTCCCTTGACTGTGTCAGGCATCGGTGAGTTCCCTGCTCTCCAGACCCTGGATCCCTGAAGTCCTCTGCAGCCTGAATACGATGTTTCCCATCTGTCACCTCCTCTTCCCGGCACCACAGCCTCCTGAAGCCCATTGTGTCACCCCCACATTGGTTAGCAGATGAGACAGCTAGGATTTAAAGCAGTCATTTCCCCAGGGTCACAGAGTTAATCAGCAGCAAAGCTGGAACTTGCACTCCATGTCCTGATCCCCACCTCTGGCCTCTTGCTCAGCACAGAGCCTGAGCGCCCTGTCTCTGGAGCCCCTGCAGCCCATCCTGTTTCACGTCCGCACCAGCTCCTCCCTGCAGGGTTCAGTCCCCCGCTAGCACTCCCGCGGTGGGGGGCAGCTGTGTTGGGCCCCGCTGCTGGCAGGAGCTGAGTCAGGCTTGGCAGGGGAAGGGGGGGGCGCAAACATAGCCAGTGCCTCCCTCCTCCCCTCTCACCCTGACTCATCTGGAGGCAACGGAAGCAAACAGCGCTTCTGTGCCAGGTAATTGTGAGACTCAGTTTGTCTAATTATAGCTCACTTTGTCTTTCAGACAGTGGAATACAAACAGTCTGAAGCCTTTCAGCTGCTCCCCGTTGGGCCAGCATCCCGGCCTGACACACTACGCTTGCAGAACGTACTAGTAAGGGCGGGTGTTGAGCCCTGTCTCCTGTGGGTCGTTTACCAACCACCTGTGCCCCAAAGAGAAACACCTGTATGTTTGAGTTCTCAGTAGGGCGTCCACACACGCCATCCACACTAGATCCTTTGGAGAACGAAGTGGTGTGCTGTTGACAGTCCCACCGGGACGATGGGGCTGAAGCAGCGCGTATGGTCCCCACGTTATAAACACGGGGTGTGCCTGCGTCTGGAAGGAAAGCTGGAGCGGGCTGCTGGGGGAGACTTGTCATGCCGAGCGGGCTGCTGGGGGATGCGGGGCCTCTGTTTCCAGCCATAGCTTTGCATCATTCAGTGACTGTCAGAATGACCCACTGCCCATTTCTGCAATTTCCACTCATTTTCTGCTCAGTGGCTGAGCCTCCCGGGACGTGTGCCTGTGTCTCATTGTTTTCTTCTTCTTTCCTCCAGAGATCCTGCGGATAATTCAGCTGGACCTCGACCTCAAGTACGAGACCAACATCCGGGAATTGTTTGAGGAGTTTGACAATTTCCTGCCAGGCGCCGTCATTGGCATAGCAAGAGAGATGCAGCCAGTGTACAGGTATGCGGCAGCTGTAGGGGACGTGGCCTCCGGGACCCTCTGCACCCCTCACGCCTCCCCTCTCCTGCTGCCCACTGCAGATTGGGATTTGCTGGTAGGCATTCTGTCTACACTTAATCTCTTAGAGACACACATTTGTACTTCTTGTATATCGTTACTAGTGTGGGCAGGTGGGTCCGCTCCAGAGTTGTAGATGCTGCTTCATTCTTTTTGGGGAGTTTGTGACATTTTTCTTGTGGAAAGGGGAGCTGTTTTGGTTGTTGGTTCTGGTTAAGCTCAGAATTTCAAAATCTTGGGCTTTGCCTTACAGAACGAGGTATCAAGATATAGCTTTCACTCGCGGGTCCGGTGATGCACTAGGTTTTCTTGGCTACTCAGTCACCAGGGACCGCTCCCCTCTCGAAGCAGAGTGGGTTTCTCAGTGCCTTGTAAGGAGGCACAGGCAGCACAGCTCTGGAACACAGGCTGGCGTTCCCCCGTGGCGGTGAAGCGTGTGCCCTGCGTTGTGTAGGGCTTCGTCGTCAGGCATGCGCCGTAGAGAAACCCCAGCGCCTGTGAACCGGGGGACATGTGCAGGAATATTCATCACAGCGTTGTGTGTGGCAGCCAAAAACTGAGAATGACTTAAATGCCCACAGATAGCAGAACAGATAAATAAAATATATTCATCCAAGCGAGCCCTACGCAAAACCAAAAATGAGCACGCGGGGCCTACACGCACTGCTTGGCAAAACTAAGCCGTGGTCTTTAGGAATGCGTGCCGCCGGCCAAAATTATAAGGAAAACCAAGGGAATGGTGATCCCCAAAGCCAGCATGGCATTGCCTCTGGGGGAGGTGGGGGCGGGTGGGAGCAGGACTTGGGGAGAGGTGGCCTCCGGATGCCTCGGTGTGGTGTTAGCCCTCTATCCCGGGGGCCGCATGTCCTCCTTGGGTGTACCGTATGTTTTACAGCTGAAACAAAGGAGAGCAAAAAGCAGAAGCACGTACGCATTTTCGTTAAAAACCAGATCCATGGTTCTGGGTCCAGAGAGTTCCGAGTCCCTCACTGATCCTTCTCCGGACACAGCCAGAGCTCCCCCAGAACCGAGCTGCCTGGAGCTGCGATTTTGCGGTCCCCTGGGCTGGCCTGCTCTTTCTTCTCTGCACATCCCCTCCTGCTGGCTCCCTGGGGACATTCTTGGGGCCAGGCCGCGTTTGGAGTGCTGCAGAGCACAGGTGACTGGTGACCCAAGAGCCCGCGCTTCCCTCGAAAGATAGGGAAGAGTGACAGCCTGCTTGCTTGCGGTTATTTGCAACACGCAGATCACATAACAGGAAATTCCTGCGAGGCCTCGGAAAGGGCTGATAACCCCTGGGCCTTGTGGGCTGTTCGCCCTGACATCATCCTCTCCCACGGGGCCCCCCCCCCCCCCCGCCGATCACAAAGTGGGGCCTAGTACTCTGCCGGGAACAGGAGGGGAGGCAAACATTTGCCACTTCCAGCTCCTCGCAGCCTCTGGGCCTCATTCCCTCACCTTCATACAAGGTGTATCTTATGTCGTGGTTCTCGATTTAACAACCAGAGGCAATGGAAGGAGCACTAAACTGAGAGTCCAAAGTCCTACGTGCTAATCCCTGTGCTTGCCCCATCTGAGAACGGGAGCAGCTGTGCCCCCGGACTTACCGCCCCCGGCTCTGGCACTGTGGTCCCTCTCTCCTGCCCCCCACCATTTCCTCGCCGTCTTTCCTCTGTCCCGAGGCTGCCTGTCTGCTGGGGGGCTCCTCACTGCTTGGCAGGGGCCGGGGTCCCCTGGACACTTGCACCAGGCTCATCATTAAATGCAGTCATTTAATACTGACTTCAGGCCCTGATCTGGAATCTTCTCATGTAGTATACGTGGAAACGTGATCACATTTAAATAGTTCGGGCCAGAATTTATGGTTTTTGTAGATCTAGGATTTCCTTAACCGTGAAACTGAAATCAATTTAATTGTCTGGACTTCTCAAAAGAAATCTCTGAGAGATTTTAGACCCAAAATGAAATTGAATTTTTCTCACCTTCGGAGTCTTTAATTATCAGGATGTCCAGCGAGGAAAATCAGACCTCTGCAGCTGGGCTGCTGGAAGCGGCCCAAACTGCCCCGTTTGTAGGGCCCGTGCCCTCAGAGTCAGCAGAAGTGAAAACCCCTTTGGGTGCTACCGCCTTCCCCTTCCAGTCCTCCCCAGCTGAAATGTTTATAAAGCCTCTAATAATTACGTCTGCAAATGACTGCCCTGCGCAAACGTGCGTCCTACTGGCTCTGGGTAATCGCCTCCGAATGTTTGCAGCCTGGTGCTGGCGCTGGGGACGGTTTGGTGCCGGCGGGGTGCGAGGGGGAATGGAGTGCAGATTGTTTTTGCCGTCTTCCACAAGGAAACTGGAGACTCCAGTGGCCCCAAAGAGCAAGTGTTCATTGTCTATGGCCTTTGGAGTCTGCGCCTGGGGCGGGGTGTGCTTGTAGGGAGGGGGTGGGGAGAGAAGGGGAGGGGCGGGAGGGCGGCGAGTAAACCGCATCCACACAAGGTCTGCCGGAGCCAGGCCCTTCTCATGAGCAGGCCGCCTCGGCCCCGCTGGTCTGGACTTGGCCGTCACTCAGCCCCGTGGGCCCTCGCCGCTTCCCGAGCCCTCCTCCAGGACAAGGGGCGGGTGGCAGTCCCCACAACCACGTGCTCTCCCCGAGTGGGCAAGTGTGAGGTGGGCAAGGTTTTTGCCGTAAGCGAAATCGGCTAGCATCTATGAAAAGAAAGGAAAGTTTCAAAACACAACAGCATAAAAGAGCAAAACTGGACTGATGAACCCGAGTGTGTTTTGATCTGGAAATTCACGAAGCAGAAATAAATTTGGATCTCCTCAACTATGTTATTTTTATAGTCACTTGTCTGACAGTTACTGTACTTCAAAAGGGCACATCTTAAGTCATTTTTATGGTTGTTTTCTCTCTATTGTGTGCCGTGAATGTTAGAAGCTTGGGGCGGGGGGAGCACATTTCTCACTATTCATTTGACAAATAGCTTTTTTGTTTAGTTGTGTTTTGTTTTACAATTCTCCCCCTGCCCCAGATGTACACTAACCCCACCGTGTGCTCTGGAAAATGATGGGCGGTGGGATGCTCGGATAGTCATAGAGGAACCTTTTCTTCTGGGGTCCCTGTTGGGATTCTGTTGAGTCAGATGTCCCATGGCCTTTCTCACCTGAAAGCTGGGGAGCTGTGGCCATTTGGGGCGGAACGGTCCTGTCTGGAACCTTTCTCTGCCTTTTTGCCAGAGAACTAGACTGCTGGACAGGCCCTCATGGGTGATATGTCTAGTTGGGATACATGACCAAAAGGAGAGAAGGGGCTCGAGCTTTCCCCTGTAAGCAGAATGGCCTCTGTAAGTAGACGACTGTATTTTGCAAATATGTGTTAGTCCAGGATGCCATTTTGAATTTGCTTCCTTATCAGTATATCGGAAAAGTAAAGAAAACTGTTGGACCCTCCTTATGTACAGCTCATAAAAATTACAAGTGTGTATCAGCAGGCAGAGCAGCTTGATGCCGAAGAGAAAAGCACTCAGATTGTCCTTGGAAGCTGTGGAGGGTAGTCCCTGAATTACCCACAGAATGCTTTGCGAGGCACTTGATTCTCTGACCCTCTGTCTTATTTTCACTCTGTAAGTAGGGGTACCTACATTTCCAGAATTGCTGGAAAGCTCAACATGCACAGAAGTTTCTGGAGTGAGAGAGACCGTAGGTAAAGGGCACGTGCTTCCTCTCCTTCCTCAGTCCTCACAAAGCCTTTGTGTATTTTCTTTTCAAGACGGTTTCTTCTACGGAATACCCCCGCTCTACCCACCCCAGTTCCCAGTTACAAACACACGACACTCACTTAGGTTGGATTTCAGATAAACCAATACTTGTGTATATGTGCCCCAAATACCACACGGAGACACATGCACACAAAACAATTATTTGTTTATATGAAATTTCAATGAACTGGATGCCCTGGTCTTTGCTTGTTTGCTTTGCCAAATCTGGCAGCCGTACCCCTACCCCAGAGTGAGAAGCTTCTCTTTGTAGCAGAAGGCGGTGATCTGGCTTTTCCACAGAATCCTCCAGTGAGCAGGAACAAAGTGTTACAGGTCTGGGAGCTTGTGAGGAAAACAGGGAGAGTGAGTGAGGGATGGAAGGAGGCAGCTCGCAAAGTCTCCGTGAGGCACCAGGCCTGAGGTCACCACTCCGCAGGAGTTAGAGGCCTGCTCGTGATTTGGGCCCTTTGGGGAGGTCAGTGGGGCTGGGAGGCCTGGCAGTGGTTAGGCTTCAGGCCACGGGGTTGCTGCTGAGCCTGGAATGAGTCAGCGTGTATGAGAGAGACACACAGAGAATGTGTGTGAGAGAGAATGTGTGTGACAGAACGTGTGTGTGAGAGAGTGAGAAACAAAATATGTGTTTGTGAATGTGTACGACAGAGAGAGAGAGAGAGAGAAAGTGTGTGTGTGTGTGTGTGTGTGTGTGCACGCGCGCGTGTGTGTGTGTGGAGGAGCTGGGGTCACAGCCCTTGGTTATGGTCTTTCTGGCCTGGAGTTGGCCACCTGAGGAGCCGCTGAATGGGAGCTTTGTTGGTGGGGGCCACTGGCTTCCGGTTCATTCTCTGTTGGCTCCACAGGCCAGCTGTGTGCTGGTTTGAGCTCAAACCCACCATGAGGTGGAAGCAGCAGGCTAGTCCTGTCTGCTGCTGATAACACACCACTAGGCAGGAATTTGCTTTTGTGTTAAGTATTTTAATAGTGTCCACTCTTTTCACCTTTTGAGGTCACGTGGTTTTAATTGATAGCATTTGTGTCAGCCTAGCCTCCTTCCAGATGTGAAGGGCTCTCAGTGGAGCTGGGGAGGAAGTGAAGATCCAGCGCAGAGGTAGGAGAGGAGGATGTGGAACGACCCACCTGTGCCACTCATAGCTATGTGACCTTGGACAAGTCTCTTGACCTCTCTGAGCTTCAGTT